GATTTTCCCTTGACAATTATAGACCCTACATTAGCTAAATAATTACTAAAGTATAGAAACAAATGGAAGGAATCACTTAATCTTGCGATAATATATTATATATTCACTGGAATAAAAACAATGTGGTATTGTAGAAAGAATGGACACATAACCCAATGCCACAGAATAGAAAACACGGAAATATAACCACAGAAATATGTTTAAATATACTCTACTGATTTATTAAACAAATATTTTAAAAATCCAGTAGATAAAAGGTTGCCCCTTCAACAAATTGTGTTCCAGGCATTGGACATTCATGACCAAAAATTGAACCTAAACCTAAACTTCCAAAAGTTATACAACACTTAAAAATTACTCATAATGTTCCACCAACTTGGTACAATGACACCAAAACTACAATCCATTAACAAACCAAACCTCATCAAATTAAAAACATTTTCACTCCCTGACAAAGGAAAAAGTAATTTTAAATTTTCATCTGAGAACTAAAAACTGGAGAAGAAAATTACAGATCACTTATATGACAAAGTACTCATAACTGAAATATATAAAGAATTCATTAAAGCATACAGGTAAAAATAAATCATTCAGGGTTGGATAGTACAGCAGGTAGGGCACTTGCCTTTCACACAGTCCACTGAGGTTTGATCTCCAGCATCTCATATGATCCCCCAAGCATTGGCAGGAGTAATTCTTTAGTGCAGAACCAGAAGTAACTCCTGAGCATTGCTGGGTGTGGCCCTAAAACAAAACAAAACCATTCTATTAGAAAATGACAAAAGACAGTTCACTGAAAAGAATATAAATAGAAAATAATCTCATAAAAAGATTTTGCCATAAGTAGTCATTAAGGAAATAGAAATTTAAGTCATAATGAGATTTTACTATACACTTATCAGAATGGCTAAATTAAGTAATATGATAATACCAAATGCGGATCCAGATAAACTGGATATAATTCGTTGCTGATGGGGATACAAAATGTTATAATCACTCTGAAAAAACAGTTTGGCAGACTTTTAAAACCTAAATTTGTACTTATCGTATCACCTCAGCAACTTTACACTTGAGCACTTATCCCTCCAAAATAGCAATGGAAAGTTTTGCTCACACAATAATCTATAAACAAATATTCATGGAAGCTTTATTTCTAATAGTCAAAATATGAAATGACCCTGCTGTCTTTCATCAGTGAGTGGTTACTGAAACAGAGGTAGAACCGTACCAAAGTATACTGCTCAGCAATAAAAAGAAACTATTGGCACTTAACACTGGATAACTTTCCAGAGAATGATGATGAGGGAGAAAAAAAACAATTCTAGACAACTATATGCTGCATTGTGCTACTTGTACAATATACGTCGATTGCCTCGAGCAGGCCCCAGTAATGTCTCCTTCATCCTAGCCCTGAGATTTTTTTAAAAAGTGCCATATTCAAGGCTCTTTCAGAGTTAGGAGAATGAGACCCTTCATTGTTACTGGTATTTGGCATATTGGGTATGCCACAGGGAGTTTGCCAGACTTTTCCGTGTGGGCAGGTTACATTCGGTAGCCTGCCAGTTTGTCCAAAGTAGGAATGAGATGATAAGATGTCGCGCGGCCACATTCGCTTCCGGGAGCTGGGTTTTATAGTCACTGAGTCTTGGCCGTTGATGGGATTACATGGGGTCCAGGGGGCCAGTTGGTGGGTGTGACCCCCGCCTACCAGAATTTGGAGGATCTGGGTGGAGGATGCTCAGCCCCCATCCGAGTAGGCTTGCAGATCTCAGCTCCAGGACCCGCGTGCCCTTGTTCCTCTGCCAGTACCTTCATGTGTGCGGAGAGTGGTCTCAGCATGGTGGTGGCTGGTTCTGGAGGTCTTCGACTGCCGGAGCCCTGGTCGGGGTGGGGAGGAAAACTCAACCCGCTCCCCTCCAAGGAGCCCCGGTGAGGACAGCCAGGCGTGGGGGCAGGAGACTCTGCAATATACTTATACTTATACAATATACTTGAAAAGACGAAATTATATTGACACCGGATTAGTAGCTTTGCAGGTGTTAAGGAGGGAAATAGAGATGAAAGTGAGAGTGGACAAGCAAGGATAGCATGACCATATGCCTTATGGTCATGGAACTACTCTGTATCTTGACTGCAGTAGACGCATAAAGCCACACCTGTGATAAAACTGAACACACACCTACACACAGACACACACAAGAACAATATCCTGATTTATATTTCATTCATTCATTCATCATCCTATTATTCGTCGATTCCTTCGAGCAGGCCCCAGTAACGTCTTTTTCATCCTAGCCCTGAGATTATATTCAAGGCTCTTTAGGAGAATGAGACCCATCATTGTTACTGGTATTTGGCATATTTGGTATGCCACGGGGAGTTTGCCAGACTCTGCCGTGTGGGCAGGCTACATTCGATAGCCTGCAAGTTTGTCCAAAGTAGGAATGAGATAATAAGATGTCATAATAAGATGTCCTGATAAGATGTCGCGCGGCCGCATTTGCGGCCACACGGTTCCGGAAACTGGATTTTATAGTCTCTGAGTCTTGGCCGTTGATGGGATTACACGGCGCCAGGGGGCCAGGTGGTGGGTGTGACCCCCGCCTACTGGAATTTGGAGGATCTGGGTGGAGGATACTCGACTCCAATCCGAGTAGGCTTGGAGATCTCGGCCCCGGAACCCGCGTGGCTTTGTCCCTCTGCCAGTACCTTCATGTGTGCGGAGAGTGGTCTCAGCATGGTGGTGGCTGGTCCTGGAGGTCTTCGAATGCCGGAGCCCTGGTCGGGGCGGGGAGGAAAGCTGATTTATATATTGTATAGTTTTGAAACATGCTCCTGTGGGAAACTGGGTAAATGGTATTGCTATGTTTCTGTATTTTTTCCTTGTAACTTCATGTAGATCTAAAATCATCTCAAAGCAAAATATTTTATTAGAACCAATTGCAGTTCTATAAACCAACAACTGTCACTGTCACTATCCTCCCGTTGTTCATCGATTTGCTCGAGTGGGCCCAGTAACGTCTCCATTGTGACAATTGTTACTGTGTTTGGCATAATCGAATATGTCATGGGTAGCTTGCCAGGCTTTGCCCTGCGGGTGAGATACTCCCGGTAGCTTGCCGGGCTCTCCAAGAGGGGCGGAGGAATCGAACTCGGATCGGCCATGTACTCTTGCAAGGCAAACACCCTACCTGCTGTGCTATCGCTCCAGACCAAACCAACAACAAACACATGAAAACTAAAAGGAAATGAAATAACTATAACCCAAATGAAATATTAAGAGGGTGCCTGAGTGAGTGAAAAATATTAAACAGAAGGCTTTTAAATACAAAAGGAGTTCTGATGTATCTATGCAATATCTTCGTGTCTTTATTGGAGTACTGGTTACACAAATCTTGACATGGGTTATATTCACATGTGCACAGAGACACAAATTAATGCAGGTTGAAACTAGTGAAAAATGAATTAGGCTTGTATTCTAATTAATCATAATCCAGCAATGTCAAGTTCCTGGTTTTGATATACTGCACCTATAGAAAACATCATGGGGAGACCAGAGCCGTAATACAGCAGGTAGGACATGCAGTAGTATCTTTCTCTCACTGGATTGACCTGGGCTCAATTCCCAGTACCCAATATAGTCCTCCAATCCCTCCATGAGTGATGCCTGAGTGCAGAATCAGAGTATGCCCTCAGCAGAGCTGTTGTCTGTGACCCAAGCATGAAAAAGAAAAAAGTCACCGTGGTGGAAAGAGGGTGAAAGAAAGGCACAGGTTCTTTTTCTGTGCTATTTAAACAGTCCTGTGAGTCTATAAATATTTCAGAATAAAATGTTAAAAACAAATTAGTTGAGACCAATGATAGGTTCCTGAAAGGGATTTTGGTGAAAAAGCCATGACTTGGAACACAGAAGCTGATTTAGCGAATTAAAGTACTTTCTGGAAAAGCTGAAAGGGACACCCATAATATAAGGGTCTAGAAGATGGTTCAATGGTTTGGGACACATCCAAACCCATAGCTTGAGGCTGTGAACGTATGCCAGGTGTAACTGAGTCAACCTACAGTCTGGGCTACCCAGAGAAGAAAAATGTAAAAATAATCAAGACTATGGGGCCAAGAAGTGGTAAAGTCAGAAGCCTGAGTTTGATTCCCCACCACACAATCCTCTGGGCACGGTCAGATTTGGTTCCTACAGTAAAAGAAATCTTGCCTGTGAAAAAGGGAGAGCATTTCAATCGTTTCCAAAACAAAAGTGGTGTTTGGTTTGAATTTTCTTTAGAATTATTAGATAAAACCAGGAAAAGGCTTCAAAACCCACCAGCAAGAAAGGCTATGAGCAAGGGCAAATGAAGACCCAGAAACCCATGTATAGCATCCATGACAAGAAAGGAAAATAAACAGACACTTGAAATTTTCAATTTTGGAAGGTATACCGTAGCGAAGGGTTACTAGAGAAATAAGAATTAAAGGACAGGATGGCTTGGCTGCAGAGGGGGGCGGGGCGCGGCGGGAATGGTGTAAAGGGGCAGTGCCTTCTAGACGGACCATCTACATTGATTGAGTCACCAGACCGATCCAGCTCCTTTCCCCTAGCAATCAACTGCAGGACTTAGCTGGAATAGCTGCAGAAGGATCCCTGGGGATCTCAGCCAGTCTTTTAAGCAGGCCCACTGCCTCTGCTCTTTGGATACCAGCGGGAGGGGAGATTTGCCCCGAGGTGATCCTTGGGGCGGGGATTGTCGTCGGGGCGTGCCCCGTGGGCGGGGCCGTGGAGGCAGCAAGCACCCGATTGGCTTCGGAAAGGGGGCGTGACCATAAGGGGGCGGGGCCGCGCGGCCATTGGCTGCGGGAGCGGGAAAAGGCGGAGCTGGCGCGCTGAGCCCGGGAGGAGCCAAGGCGGGCGGCGCTGCCGCAGGAGCCGGCTCGGGAGGGGGCGCGGAGGGCGGGACTGCCGGGGAGCGCGCCGGGGCGCGGGTCGCTGCGGGCCTCGCGTCCACCTGCCTGGCGGCTCCTCTCCGCATCGCGGGCGCGGGCTCATGGCGGCGTCGGCGGCTCTGTCTGCGGCGGCGGCGGCGGCGGCCCTGTCGGGCCTGGCAGTGCGGCTGTCGCGCTCGGCCGCAGCTCGGGGCTCCTACAGCGCCTTCTGCAAGGGGCTCACCCGCACGCTGCTCACCTTCTTCGACCTGGCCTGGCGGCTGCGCATGAACTTCCCCTACTTCTACGTCGTGGCCTCGGTGATGCTCAACGTCCGCCTGCAGGTGCGGATCGAGTGAGTGTCCGCGGCCACCGCGGCCGTCCCGAGGGTCCCGCGCCCACCCGCCCGCCTGCCCGCCTGCATGACGGCAGGAAGGACGGCGGGTCGGCCCGGGACGGTGCGGGGGGAGGAGGAGGGGCGGCCGGGCTCCCGCACCCCAGTGCTGTGTCGGGTGGACGATGCCGAGCCCGGGACCAGCCACCGAGCCCAGCCGTGACCCGCCCACAGCCGTAGTGGCCAGTGACTGATTGCACAGAAACTCCCAATCGGCCCTTGGCGTTGGGCTCCAGAAATCTGAGAGTAGCAACAGAGCAGCCGACCTGTTGCCTCAATAGACCGAAGGGGGAGGGGGGCCCGCACGAAGAAACCGCAGCAGGAATCGGTTTGGATTGACCCTGACTCAGGAGGTAGGCGGCCAGGGCTCGGGCTCGGGGGCCTGCGGGAGGGGGCGGCCTAGAGTCGGGGGCCCTTGGGTGGTGGCGGGGGGCGGGGGAATGCGGCGGGAGCCCCGGGAGCAAGCCCCGCGGGGCGGCAGGGCACACGCAGGCAGGCAGGCCTCCCGTTTCCGTGGAAAAGATGGTCGGCGGGGGAAGGGTCCGTCCATCACCTGCCTGGACCCGCCCCCTGCCCATCACGGTCGCTGTCTCCGCCCCCTCAGCCCAGGCGCCCTGGGGGATGGGAGGGTGGGCTGGGGCGAGCCGTGGAGGAGCGAAGACGCCCCGGCCGCCCCCTGCCCCCCAACTGGGGCAAGCAGCAAGGAGGGCGGGATCTCCTCGGTCTCAGCCCTGCAGCCCACCCGGGCCCTGCAGAGCCTCTGGAAAAGCTGCCTCCGGGGCCCCGGGGCTGCCCTGTGCTCCTGCTGTCCCTTAGCCCCCTCTGCCCCCATCCCTGAGAGCGCCCTCCAAAGCACTGCCTCCGCGCCCCCACGCCCAGGCCTCTGCGGACCCCTGCCCCCTGTGCTGCCCACAGCCTGGCTCTTCTGCCCCCTTGGCCTAGCCCCTGCCGCCCCCTGTGTGCCCTCCCTGTGCCGCACAACGCCCCGCTCCAGCCCTGGGAGCTGCAGCAGCCCCCCGGGGTCCCCCAGACACAGGGCGATGGGGGGCGGGTCTCCTGAGAGCAGATGCCAGCGCAGGGGGGAGGCCCTGCAGAGGAGCAAGCGGGCGGGGCGGCAGGGCGGCTTCTCAGGCGCCTTCTCTCTCTTTCTCTTGCAGGACCTTGTGTGTGTGTAGGTGGTCACCCTGGCCTTGTGCAGAGCCAGACCCCAGGGGGTGCCCCTAGCCCTGGAGCTGCCAGGGAGCGGCTGAGTGGAGCATGGCACAGGCGGAGTGGAAGGGCCTCCAGGCGTGGGGTAGCCCAGGCTCCCGTTGTGGCGCGAGAGGGACAGGACCCTGTCACCCAGGCAACGAGATCTCCTGGAAGCCCGGAGCGAGCTCTGTTCTCTGTCCCCAGCCACCAGGAAAGGGGGGCACCGGGAGGGAAGAGACTGGCCCCTTCACGCAGAGAAGGGAGGGAAGACGTTTGTCCTTGCCACACAGATTAGTGGAGCTGGATCTGCGCTCCCCACCCCCCAGCCCCCACCCCAGGCTTCTGCAATATCCGGCACAGCGGGTGGGAGGGGACACGGGGTTCCCACGGGAGAGAGGGGTCCGGGTGGGTTCTGGAGAATGACCTTCCTGTGGAGTGTGGCGGGGGGGGGGGCGACAGGGTACGGTGTGAGCTCAGAGATCCGCGTCTTGGAGCCCCTGGGAGCCGAGGACCTCGGCCAAAGAAGCCCCCCGATATTCAGGCCCCAGGAAGGGGGCTAAACATCAGGGCGGCTGGTGGGCCGGGGGCCGTGGCTCCTGGGCCGCGCCGTGATCCGGAGGTGGAGGGGGTCGGGAGGGGCTGGCACCCGCAGCGCGGCCCGTTCTTTATCCCCAGAATCACCCGGGAGAATCTCGAGATGGCTTTGGCTTGGTCCTGGAGGTGGCGAGTTTGCTGCTGAGCAGCCCGCTCCAACCGCTGGAAGCAGAGCAGAGACACGACGCGACAGACCCCGAGCGGCCCCCGCCAGCCACCCTGCCCCACGCCTCCTCCGGTGCCGGTGCCGGTGCCGGTGCCGGTGCCGGTGCCGCGGGCTCTGGGCCCACGGACCCAGGACTCAGACTTCTCGGGACCGAGAACCACACTCGTCCGGGGAACTCCAGGCGCGGAGACGCCCGATGTCCCCTCTCTCCTGCCGCCGCCGCCGCCCAGCCGCTGCCCAGCTCCTGGGTGAGGGTCCTGCTCGCCTCACCCCCGGAACCCAGCCCCGAGCGGGCCGCATGTGCCCCTGCCGCTGCCCCCGCCGGCCTCATGGCCTCCCTCCTCCTGCAGAGTCTCCAGGGGGGGCCCGGCGCGGCTAGTCCCGGCCTCCCGCGCCCACTCTGGGAGCCCGTCAGCCTGCTGACCCCCGCAGACCTCTGGGGCCTCTCTGACAAGAGCCACAGCGGGCTGCGGGGAGAGGCCTCCGTGGGCCGGATCCGCGGCCGGGCCCCGTTCACCCCCTGGCTGCACCCACTGGGCGACGCTTTCCCCAGCTCCAGCCTCTGCGTCTGTTTGGGGGTGCCGGTGACAGAGCGCGCGGGACTGGGTCCCCACCCGGCCTGGGCAAGGGCCCCGCTGGAGTCGCCCCCCGGGCTCTAGGAGGCAGCGTCCCCACGGGGAGACACGGGTGTCAGATGCTCCGGAGCCGGCACCCCACGCCTGCTCCCCCGGAGAAGCGTCTGCCATGCCGAGGGCCGGCACGTCCTGCGGCGGTGGCCCTGGCGCTGTCTGTGGCCGCCTGGCCTGGAGGCGGAGGGGCTGCGCCCTGACCCCAGAGCTGCTGTCCCTGCCGCTGCCGCTGCTGCTGCTCCGTCCCGGGGCCCCGAGCCAGTGCTCGCTTTGCTTCCCCGTCCTCCCCGCCCCCTCCCCACGGCCCCGCCTGCTTTGCGGGCTCTCCCGCACTTTATTTATTTGCAGTCTGTTTCCCAGGCAGCTGAGCGGCTACACAATCAGCCCCTGACCCCCACCCCCCAGTACATGGATGTGAAAAGTCGCTGTGGTCCCCTCTGCACTGGTCAGCACACCTGGTCAGACAAATGTTCTTGTTTCTGTCGTCGGGTCTGGTTGTCTGTGTAACTTAAAGAATGTCTCGAATTCAATAAAGTCAAGTGAGTCCCAAAGGCCTCCCGTGTCTGGGGGGGTGGGGCCCATGCTGGGGTCCCTGGCTCTGAAGGCAGGAGTCCAGGCTGGGCGGCGCCCGCTGGCTGGGGACATGCTGAGCGCAGACTTGGCCCACAGCCTTCGGGAGGAGCAGGGCATAGGTTGTCCGGGGCCAGCGGTGCATCTCCCCGTCAGGGCCAGCCTTGGAGTAGCCGGATATCTCGGTGCTTGCTCGGTGGCAGAGCCCAATATTAGGAAGCCAAGTCCCAGGAGGTGGAAGAGAGGAGAAGGGGAAATAGCCTGCAGGGCACTTTGCTGTTGGTCTTTGAAGGGGCTGGTTTGTTTTTGGGGGGCGGTTCACTCCCACATTCCTCAGGGGTTACTCCTGGCTCTGCACTCAAGAATTACTCCTGACGGTGTTCAGGGGACCTAATGGAATGCCTGGATCCAACCTGGGTGGGCCGCCGACAGGCAAATGCCCTCCCTGCTGTACTGTCACTCGAGCTCCAGAGTATTTGCCTACTTCTTTTTGTTTTTGTTTTATTTTATTTATTCATTTTTAATTTTATTAGTGAAACACCATGTACATGGAAAGAATCATGCTAAGCGAAATGAGTCAGAAAGAAAGGGACAGACACAGAAAGATTGCCTATTTCTTTTTGGCTTCGAGGGGCACACCTGGCAGTGCTCAGGGCTTACTCCTGACTCAGCACTCGGGGATCACGCCTGGCAGGGCTCAGGGGACCATATGTTGATTCCGGGAATCGGAGACAGGTTGACTTTGTGCAAACACCCTCCCCGCTGTACTATTGCTGAGACCCTGCAGGCCACTTTGTCACCAGGAGACCTCTCTGTGGCTGGCAGAAGGTGACCTCATGACCCTTTCCTGCTGTCTCTGTCCTGAGGGTGCAGTTTGGAACCCAAGAGCCTTACCCCATGGTAGGCGCAAATTGTCCCAGTCACAATCCTAGGGGCTCCCTCAAAGGGCCAAACCAGGGGCTCCCAGGATCCCAGGAGGAGGAGGTGGTGGCTGTGATGAAGGTTGGCTGAGGGATGCCTGGGGAAAGCATGGTGGGCTCCATGGAGGGGGCCCCAGGGAAGCTTGTGTGAGGATGCAGTGTGTGATCACCATGAGGAGCCAGCCCAACGAAGGGGACTGGTCTCTCACCTATCGCCAAGCGCTCCCAGGGCTCAGATCCCCTGACCAGGAGGCGCTCCTCAGTGTCTGCTGAAGCAACTGGAGCCCAGGGCCTGCTAGAACCCAGAGCTCCCCCCTCTGTCTGGGTGGGCTGGCTGAGCCCCCGAGGGTCCCACACTCAGTCCAGGGATCATGGAGCCCAGTTTGGCCGAGATGGGATAGATCTGACCATAGACTGGGTCTGAGGCCCCCTGTGAAGGCAGAAAGTGAACTAAGGAAAAGCAGCCCTCTTTCCTGGACAGGTAAGGAACTATCCAGGCTGGACTCAAGGCTTATCGTCCTAGACACATGCTTCGTGAGCTCGATTTCCCCAGAGCGCCCAACAAATCTTCCTTTCTGGATAACCCAGCCATCGGTCATTCATATGATTTTACTGCCTTAGCAGTATTTCTGCCAACTATAGAAAAGCAGCCCTGCTAGGAGAAACTGATTTCCATTTGAGGATGTTTTGAACATTGTCTTTATTCTATGTGAGCTAATCTGTAAAGCCCTCTGTGTGTAGACCAGCTTTCCCTTTTCCTAGGAGCCACAGATTCTCCTGAGCTCTCCAAGCCCTCCATGTCTATGCAGATGTAGACTTTATTATCGAGCTCACCATCTCCATGCGGTTCTTTAATATGCACCCATTCGGGTCATAGGTGAGCTCTTAAGCATGGCAAACTCAGACCCGTTCCATCTTGTGACACTGAATCCCCGGGTCACTTTCCCAAGACCCTCATCTTGCTATTCCATTGCTTCATCTGGTGAGTAGTGTCACCTGGCTTGTGGGTTCATCCTTTTTGGGGTTAGCGACCCATTTAATCCTGGGTCCTGGCACTCAACTTTCCCTCTGCCTGTACAGGTGTAATCAGAGGTGTCTACCTCATCCGTCACTCTCACCCATTTAAGGCCAGACCAGACATATGTTGGCATAGAGCTGGCGCAAATGTACCTCGACCCTCCATTGAAAAGCCCCACGTGTTTTTGAGGAAGCTCCTTAGATGCTTCGAGCCTCCATCCATCCTCTCATCTTTCATTCTGGGGACAGACTCATAGAGTGTCTGAACTCATGCATTCTTCCCTCTCAGATTTTTCTTTAATTCAGGCCCATCCAAAAGGAGGAATCCACCCAGCCAACATCCTCTGATCATGTCAAAGAGCGACCCTGCTGGCTTGCTGCTCCCCCTCACTCTCAAGCAAATCTCCTGGCACATTTTATAATACAGCCTGGCCACCTCATCCGCTGGACAGGGGGAGGTCTGAGTCTCAGGTGGACCCATGGTCTCCCGGTGATAATAGTCTGCTCTGGTTTTCATCATTTGGTAAGCTAAAGAGTAAATACGTTAACTTCCTCGTGTTGGTGCCATCTTTGATCTGATACCTGTCACAATCCTGCCTCTCTTCTAAACCTTCATGTAGAAATTGAATATGAAGGAGCAGAGAAGCTCCACTGAGCCCTTGCCCAGGAATTCAAAAAAATGCTTTATTAAAAAATTTCATTATCAGGGGCTGGAGCAATAGCACAGCAGGTACGGCGTTTGCCTTGCACACGGCCGACCCAGGTTCGATTCCCAGCATCCCTATGGTCCCCTGAGCACTGCCAGGAGTGATTCCTGAGTGTATGAACCAGGAGTATCTCCTGTGCATTGCTGGGTGTGACCCAAAAATGCAAAAAAAATTTTTTTCATTATCAGGGCCTGGAGAGCTGGAGCGATAGCACAGTGGTAGAACGTTTGCCTTGCACGCAGCCAACACGGCCAACCCGAGTTCGATTCCTCCGCCCCTCCCAGAGAGCCCAGCAAGCTACTGAGAGTATCTCGCCTGCACGGCAGAGCCTGGCAAGCTACCCGTAATGTATTCGATATGCCAAACACAGTAACAACAAAAAGTCTCCAATGGAGACATTACTGGGCCCACTCGAGCAAATCGATGAAAAACGGGAGGACAGTGACTCACCAGTGACTTATCAGGGGCTGGAGCGATAGCACAGAGAGTAGGGCATTCTCCTTGCACGCGGTCAACCCAGGTTCGATTCCCAGAATCCCATATGGTCCCCTGAGCACCGCCAGGAGTAATTCCTGAGTGCATGAGCCAGAAGTAACCGCTGGTGTGATCCCAAAAGCAAAAACAAAAATAAAAAACAAACAAAAATTCATTATCAGTAGTAATTCGAAGTGAATTAGTAGTGAATGCAGAGCCAGGTGTGACCCATAAAACAAAAACCAAAAATTAAAGGCTTACTCCTAAATATAATTTAACTTATTTTAAAAATTCGTCTTTTTCAACACTGTATCCTGTACAACCTGCCTCCCATCTCTCGCATAATCCTTGTTACTGGCCCTGAAGCTCCGGAGGACATAGGCTTTCTCTCCGTTCCCTTCCCTGACCCTCCCCACAACAATCCGGCCCAGAATGTCACTATTTGAAAGAACAGCAGGCTTCTCAGGGTCAGCCTCTTCCCTCTCAGCAGAATCTCAGAGCGGCCCATACAACCTGCCCCCATCTCTCCTACTGGACACAGTCTTGCAGGTGAAGGACAGTGGGCGTCAGGCAGAGCAGGACTCCATGAGAAACGTAAGGGAAATCCATCAAAGCCAGACTGGCCCATGGCTGCTTTCCCTGCACTCTCGCTTGGACCCCAATTCCCGCCTGCCCCCATTCACACTGCCCTGCAGCCCAAACGTGGGCCCCAGCACCCGGTTTCAAGACACATACGGGGAAAAGGGGCGTGTCCTCAGCACTGAAGGAGCCTCTGCCTGGGCCGTGGCCTCTGGGTGTGGAGAATGGTCACTGCGAGAAGGACTCTCCTTAGCACCCTGGGAGCAGGGGCCAGTTCGTCCTTCAGGAGCCCACAGTCACAAGAGCCCGGACAAATAGCTGTCACTTGTGGGGGGGAATCAGCGCTGTGAGCGACTCAGCGCATGGATGGCCCCAGCGATCATGCAGGCTCCTCTGGTGACACATCTCATTAGCCCAACAAGGGTCATTGCTGACGTCACAGGGAAGAGCTTTTATTCTTATCAATACTGGAGCCACTTTCTCTGCCCTCCTCCTGCTCACAGGCCCCGGGGTCAAATCCTCTCTCCTCCTCCCATTATCCACAATAGGCTCACTCGTTGTCATAGCAATAAATCTCTTTTCTACACACTGGAAAATTTGTCTCTTTGCTTCAGGATTGTTGTGGGGAGGGGCAAGGAAGGGAACTGAGAGGACGCCTGGGTCCTCCTTGAGCTTCAGGGCCAGTGACAAGGAGTATGCAGGAGAGATGGGAGGCAGGCTGTAGGGGATACAGTGTTGAAAAAGATGAATTTTTAAAATTTAATAACACTATGTCCTTTTGTTCTTACTACCCCAACTTCCTCCAAACTT